GATTCTTTGTGGTGTCCTCAAAGGCAAAAATGTATTTCCTCATATACAGTGCGGAGGTTGTTTTTGGTTGAAGGTTTTGTAAGTTGTATTTTGAGCTGGCTCTGCAAAGCACCAGCTTTCTTAAGGATGTCATTTGAGGTTGACACATTTAGCAGATTCTCAACACATCAACCAACCAACTCATTGTTTATCAAGAATAATGTAAAGGGTTCGACTAAACGCACGAATATGGCTCAGACTAGTTGGCTTTCTATCCACATTCTTTAGCTGAGCCTGTGACCTCTGACCTCTCTGTGTAGGAGCCCAAAGAGAAAAGAGAATTTAAAGTTTTTTCCCAGTCACTTCATTTTGACTGACTATAATCCCACTGAAGCAAGTATGTATAAATTAACTGTGCAACAGGGGAAATCATTGTGCCAACAAGATGCAGAATTAAGCACTAACGGACGCTGAATATTGACGCGTAAAAAAAAAAGATGCGTAAGTTACTAATTTAAATGTTTTGGACTCATTGGTTGAATCCACAGCTCTACACTGCAATCTTTGATCCTAAACAGTGTCCCCTCCTGGAATCCCAGGCATGTCTCTCCGAGTGTTTTGGGGAGATAATAGAACAGCCTGCCTCTGTGCAACCAGACAGGGCACAGCTTGCATAAGACTTGTTGATGAAATAAGAGTTCACTCTAAAGTATAACTGGATTGTGAGGTTCAGTGGAAAGAAAGCTTGTTGCACGGCAACCAGCCTCCCCTACAGTTCAGCGGGGGCCTCATCTGACATAGTTCTGTCCAGCTGTTTCGTTGCCCTTGGAGACTGATCTTGGGTCAGCATAGGTGCCATAGGTCCTGTGGAGAGGGTTTGAGGTGAAACTGATGTGTGTTCAATGTTTTGAGTAAATGTGGAGGAATATACTTGCCAGCAACTCTCGTAGAGGCAGAGAGATGTATCTGGGTGGGGGTTGATCCCAAGGTTGTCCCCACCCTCCAGAAGAAACCTAAGCCGAAAAACACAAAGAGTGGGAGTGGGATTTGAGCTCTGTTTTTTATCTTAAATTTCCCTGAAACCAAAGGGGTTCAGACTCAACATCAAACCACAGTGAGAAAGCTGACATCAAGTTGTTGTGGAGTTGAAGTGCAGACTTGTCATTGTTTTTCGGTGTGCGTGATTTTAATAAATGTACATATTCAGTTACAGTCTTAACAAGGATTTTAAAGCTTATTTGACAATAAAATGATTAAGAACATCCATAAAATCTATCCAGACAATTTAAGTTTAAAGCTAAACATTTCATTCAGGTCGCTTGTCTTGATTTTGACTTTTGTTTCTTGAAAAAAGTTCATCACACAGGGAAATTCTTTAAAAACTGTTGTCTGTCTAACTCACCTAATCTTCACATTTCTTCAGATGTGGAGTCTGAGTTTGTTCCTAACGTTGTTTTATATTTCCTGCGATCCTTGATTAGAAAAAGCTAAATTCTGTTCTCCTGCTTTACAGATTAGATTGTTGTGACTACAAATTTACAGCAACCAGACACAGTGATCTACACATCCTCCTCAGTCATTGTGCCCCAGCTCAGCATCCCTGAATTAAAGAATGAATGAGTGGCTACATTTAGCAAATGTCTGGCCTTGGAAGCAGTTCCTCCTCAAGCCATGGCAAGTAAATAAATAATGAATGAATGAATGAAATGAGCAAGTCTGATCAGATTTTATCACTAGAGCAGATTATTTGTTTATGTATTTTTGTGGTGCAACGACAAAGGACAGTAAAATGAAGTCACACGTCATGTGTGGCATGAGAATTAAAGCTCATCGTGTATCTTTAGCCCTGTAGATCCACTTAAACATGAAAGGTGATTGTGTGTGACAGAGTTTAAGTTAAGGACAAGCAGAGGAAGGGTGTCAACGCTGCAACTCAAGTGGAGCTTTCCAGATGTTATGCAAAGGATGTGAGTTCATTCTTCTAAAGTCCAAGACAATCTTTTTCTTGACACAAAACAACCCCAGTGTCAACAAGATACCTTTGTCTATCGGGCATGAGAACACATACAAACACACACACACAATCAAACATATGGAGACAAACACACTGTGTTAGTGTATGAGTCACTTTCAGCGAGATAACGTATATACCACATTATTTATATGTATTTTTTTACATTTTGACATTCAGTGGTAATATGTAACTATGGGTGCAATATATACTTACTCAAGGACTGTACTTAAGTAAACATTTTAGGTACTTTTACTTTACTTGAGTTGTTTCTTTTAATGCCAATTTCTACCTCTACTCCACTATATTTCAGAGGCAAATATTTTCCTTTTACTTTACTACATTTATCTGAAAGCTTTAGTTAGTTTTTGCATACAAAATATGTGAGGTTGGAATCCATATGAGTATGTTTATATACACACATATGTGTAATATATGTGTATATATATAACTGGCAATTATTTTGATAATCATTTAAGTTATGGTGTCACTTTGGACTCTGGGTAATTGTGACACTATTTTCAGATTTTTTTTACAAACCATATACTAATAGTCACAGGGGACATTTTTCTGCATTTAATACTTTTACTTTTGATACATTTTCTTGATTATGCTTTTACTTACGTTACATTTTCAGTGCAGGACATTTCGTTGTAAGTGAGCATCTTTACAGTGTGGTAGTACTTAAGTAAAGGATCTCAATCTTCCACCACTGATGACATTACAAGAAATGTCCTCACTCAAGAACAACAACACTAAACTGCAGTTCATCCTGCGGTCCTTCTCTTCCAGTTAACTCTCAGCAGGCTTCTCACTATCATCCTCCTTCCTGAACAGTTTCCTAATTTGCACTCTGAAACCACTACGCTGATATAAGGTTTGAAAGTGGAGGAAGATCAGGGCTTTTCCTCTCCAGTGGAATACTTCCCTTTCTATCCTGTTTGGCCTTAGAGTATTATTTCAGATGGTCTGCCTCATGCACACAGTTAATGTTTATGGCTGTATGTTCTTTATACAGTCCAGCTCCTACCTATTCAAATACTGAAGGACATACATTGCAGAATGAGTCTTTCTTTCAGTTGTCTTGAAGTTTCCACCTCCACTTCCCTGTTCTGTTTTAAATAATTAAGAAGCACCACGGACCTTCAAATCAAGATGTCTGAGATAAAACAGGGAGGTGGAGATCTGCCTCCTTCCCCGCAGTTATCCAAACAAAGTGACGAGGATGCCTGTGGTTCACAAGCACTGCACCTGTAAGTCAATCCGTAGCAGATGTGATCTTTTCTCTCTCAGGCTGTGAGAAAATTATCGTGTTTTTACTTTTATCATGTGCACACAGAATTCTGAGCACTTTGACCACAGACATTAAAAGTGTTCAGAAGCAGGAGCAGGAGTTAGGAATGGATTGCAGAGCTTTTACCGTATATATGAAAGCAGCACGGTTTACTTTTAATAGTCAACAAGTAAACAGGACTAACCACCATGTTTTTATCATTTCCACTACAGGTATGTATTAAAAGCCATCATACTGGTGGAAAGTAACATTTATGTTGACGTGCATCACATTCAAGATGTCCTTTCCTCGTGTACAACAAAGACAAAACAGGATCTCATTTTCACATGTTTGGAAAGTTTGTGGCATGGCCAGATTAAGCTGTTTGGGGGACCCGTATCTGTTGCCTCCAAGTTCCCAAGTACAGTGAACACAGCACACACATTATAGATAGAAGCGTCACTACATTTTGAAGACCCAGAAACCAACCAGCAGTCCTATATGTCAGTTTATCTGAGGTAATTTTATAAAACACAGCTTTATTTAGGGGATTACATCATGTGAGCACAATATACTAAAACAATGTTGGAACTAGATTTTTTGACTCAGTGCCTCTGCAAGACAGGGCAACAAAATGTCATAATAATGTCAGATATTGTACTTTTAATGGTACAAATTCCCCCAATAAATTGGGGCCAGGGCCCTTGAACGGTTGCCAGCAGTGTCTGGTTGGTAACCAAAGCCATCATTTCAATGCCAAGTTGCTTCTCTTTTGTAATGGATGGGAATGGGTTAAGTGTATGAAGGAAATTGTACCTCCTTTAACTGATCCAGCGAAATGTCTTTTGAGGTACTAAAAACACGGCTAATGACACACTAATACAACTCTACACTGGTGACCTTTGCTTGCCGACCACTGTGATATTCTCATCCACTTGGCATCTCCCCAAAAGTTCAAACGCTGTACGTCCTCGACTAACTGCCAGCACCATTGTCCACGCAGAAAGGAACATGAGTGTTGGCCCACAGTTCCACCTGTTTCAGCTGTTTTGGCCATTAGGTTTAATCAGTGCTATCGTCTCCCTTTCCTGTCATGGGAAAGTGGTCGTTGACTCTGGAACAATCCCCCCCCCCGCCCCCCCACACACAAACACTTGACCAGTGGCCAAAGGGTGGGGGCGTCTGTGGGGACAACCCGTAATGCTTTCTTAGTTACTCCATGTACGTACAGCTGCCAGTACATGTGCAATGGGAAATGTTCGACTTCCCAAAAAGGAAGAGGGGATACATTTCCTCACTAACCCTTCTACATGATGCTCCCAATACTTCTAAAAACAAAATTCACATTCCTTAAGGAGTCCCTGCCAACACTCATCATACATCAGGATGGCTGACAGTCAACTTCTTGACCTTTAACGAGGAAATATGTTTGGATCTCTGTGCTGTCTTACAAAACTAAGAAAGCATAGAGGAACTGTGCAAGCCAAAGTAGCTGGAAAAAGTGATTGCACATAGAGTAATTAGTTATATTCACCAGCATGGGAATAAACCATTAAAGTCAGGAAATCAGCTTGTCAGATTAGGTGGCATGTTCCCATTAAAGTGCTTTTTTTGTACAGCATTCCTCAGCATGCCCCAATGGTTGAATACTTTCAAGAATGTCATAATTGAATCTGGACATTACAGCATTTAAATAAACTGCAGAAAAACTAACAGTCAATAAACTCAGAGACACCATTTTCACAAATGTTCATTTTTATTCAAATCACCACAACAATTCCAAATGAAACCAAATAGGTCATGTTGGAGAACAGAGGCACAGAAATTTAATTTTGGCAACACAGTGAAGATAAAGAATAGGAAGAGCAGAACACGCCATTACTTTTAGTTTGGTATTGTGCTCATTGAACTGAGCCTGTCAGACGATAGGGCTGATAAGGGACCCCATCACGCCTCCTTCACATACATCCTCACCGCGACCACGTCTCCCATTATGCATTTCTGTGGGAAAAGAGGAGATTGGGCATGAAGGGCGTGAAGAGCAAAAGAGGTGCAATTGTAAAAGACAGGTGGTGATAAATTCGTGCATGTGTTTTGAGTCTAGGGAAGAATTCAGCTCATCATGCAGAGGCAAATTCTTACGCAACTCATGATATGAGTATAATCTTTCTACAGTTAATCAGCGTGTTCCTAATGGAGAGCCTGACTTTATTCTCTTAATGTCTTATGTTGTAACTGCACTCCTCCTCAGGGGATACTTTGGGGGTTTTGTCTTTGTTACTACTGCCTTACATTACTCCACCCATGTTACATTAGGATTTCCTGTAGTACAAGGACATTTTAATTCGTTATTTTTACCTATACATGCATGTTTGCTCTCTCAAGTGGAATATGGGCACAGGAGCTTACAAATGAGGATTTATACAAACACATCAAATCAAACGTGAAAAGAGGCTGATTTAAGAAAAAAGGAGTAAAAATTGAAGGATGCTTTTGAGTGATGAAGTACTTTTACACAAACTAAAAGGCATTTAAAAGATGCTTTAAAGCTGCTAAGTTAGTTGTTATTAAATAAATTTAAGAAAGTCAGGAGAAACTGAATCCTTACCGCTATCAATTTCCCATCTGCAATCTCCCTCTCAATATTCGTCTCTTTGCCATCCCAGCTCTGTTTCTGCACAAGTTTTCCGTTTTCCAGAGTCACCACGGTCTGCAGGGCACAGAACAGAGACAAGCCGTTAATTCCAGCACAGACAAAAAAAAAACAAAAAAAAAAGACCCCCCAGGATTTATCTTGTAGTTTCTGCCCTCACACCACACTAACCCTTGTCTTCCTATCGTCGGCGGTCGTCTCCTCGAATGGCTCGTTCAGCTTGAACTTGATTTCAGTAGTTTTGAAGGTGCTCTGAGACTTCATGCATACCATCCCTTGTTCGTCCACGGTCACCACCAAATTGGGCTTGGTCCGATTCCCCACCTGCCGGGTCGCAAAACCCACACCTGCAGAGTGGGAAGGGCAAGATCAGCAGAATGCGTTAAAATATAAGGCACTTATGGTTCAAATACACCTGAAAGCTACGTTTTAATGTGTAACTAGACCATTAAATCAATCATTTCTGTCAGGTAACTGGACCAGATTGCAGATTGCAGCCAACGTTACATTAACAAAAAGTAAGCACAAGTTGCATTAAATTAATTAGCAACTGACAGCCTGGGGCTTTAAGCACACATATCCTACCAATCGCCTTCATGTAGTCGTCAAAGTTCTCGCTGGAAGTCATCTTCCACGTCCCAACAAACTTCTCAACCATCTTTGCAAGTTTTTGTTCTGGGTGCGATATCCTCAACAACAAAAACACAACAACAACGACCCTGTGGAGTGACTCCGGATTCAACTCTCTGGCAGTGTGGGAACAGACTCGTTTTTAAAGGGCCAGCCCGGCATCCAGCGAGGCAGCGGGAGCCAATCACGGCTTGCCACGTCACATAATGGAACGTTGAAATCCCGCCTCTAGCCTCACTGGCTAATAGCGTCTGTGACTGAATGGGGGTTTCTCATAAAGGGGGGTTTAATTGTGTTTTCATGAAAGTTGTGATATCTTCATGGGTTTTTTTGTTTTGTTTATATTCTGAGCTAAATTGGCATCTGCATGATAAAATGTCAACATATTGTTAAATTTAACCATGTTATCATGCAACAACTACATATAATATGAGTTATAATACAGTCAAAGCCTCATGGGAGGTGTGGTGGGTGATTAAAAACCATTATTTATTAATCACATTCCCCTGAGATTATGAATGGTTACAAAATAAATGTTAATCACAATAATTATACATCCGTTATAAGCCATTAAACACATTTGTGTTGCAAGGTTGGAAATATTTATTTTTACAAACAGGCTGCAGACAATCTACGATAAAACAAATACAACCTATTATTATTAAGAACCCTTTATTCCTTTGTTAATGATTTATTAACATCCATATTGCAGACTTAATGGGTTGTTTAAAAGGGTAAGAATCATTAGCTTTTAGTAATGGATTAGTAACATTTATGACTGTATTATTGTAAAAGTTAGAATGGCTTATAATTAAAAAAAATTATAAGGCACAAATGAATTACTAACAAATTAAGACATTAGTTACAACGTGTGAAACATTTTACAGAGGGTGACCCATTAGGTGGTGGTAGCAATTTGACTTGCCCGTGTGGTAGAAGACATTAAAGTTATTTAGCTTAGAATATCAATGCCAAACCCCATCAGGAAAATGCTTCAGCTAATCTGGAAAACTGATGAAAATACATGTTCTATGTGAAAACGTGGATGTAATAATAACCCATCCATGGAGAAAAGCCATTAAGCTATGAATGCTAATGGAACAGAGGGTAGCTAACAGAGGGGGCAGGATTTCAGTGATTTGTGACTGGGTGAAAGGTTTTTTTTTTTCTTTTTTTAGCAGGGCTACATCTAAACTCTGTGCCAAATTACATTTAAGCTTGCTGTGTCAAAGGTTGTAGCTTGCATAATGTTCTCTCTAATGCTGGAATGGTCTCTTTTATCAGTAAAATGGCACATTATGCAAGGACACACCATGACCCTGTACTGATCACAGCACGTTTTTTAGCAGTTAAAGCATTTCAATTGATGTCTTTAATATGGAGTAAATAAGCATAGCTGATGGGGCTAATTTCAAAACTATTTCCCCTTAAGAGGGTGCATTGCTGTTGCAGTTTGACTGTAATAAAGTCTGTGTTGACAGTAGAGAAATCTGGTAGGATTTCATCCTTAAATCATATGATTCAAGGGGAGGAACTCACTCAATGTCGTGCGCGTCCAAATTACGTCACATCACCGGGGAGTAGCTTAAGTGAATCAAAGGTCAATTCACACCAGAACCGGCCCGTTTAAATGAAATACTTTTATTATAAACATCCAACAACACACTGACACGTACAGATAAATTCAACACATTTAACATGACGGTCGTTATTTTTTTGCTGCTGCCTGTGGATCCTTGGCTGTGCACCGTGACTGAAACGCACTCAGCATCTCCTTGCTGGTCAAATTTGCTCCTTTCATCACGAGCCTCTCTCCATCAACTGTAGAGGAGAAAGACAAAAGACACAATGACGTGACTCATAAAGACACAATACTGATCTCTCTGTATAAAAGGAGTACAAGAAGGCAAAAAAAAAAAAAAAAAGGTGGAAAGTAAACTCTGAGCAAAAGTCAAGTAACACACAATGGGCAGCAGATGCATAACATTCTGCTGACCTATGGCAGACATCTCTACTTCTGGTAAGTACTTGACTCATTGTGTGTGAGCGACACTTATTGTGAAATATCATGTGGATGCTAGGTGTTGTGACGCACGTACAGAGCCGGCCTTTTTCTGTGTCTAATGAACAAGCTCTTTTCCCCAAAAACACCCACCGGTACGCCACAGTGGTTTCTCTGCATCAAGTTCATTTACGTATATAGACCCCCTCTCAACGTCGACATGTCTCAAGGGAAGCTTTTAAAGACTTGGAGCCGACTGGAACTAAAAATTAAAAAGACACATCTCCGGTGGATTAAAACAATGGCCAGGAATCTGAACTGCAACGCAAAAACTCCAGCCACAATCACACTGTAAAATCTACCTTCTCCCGCACATTTGAATGTGGTTAGGTAAAACTTACGGTAAGTAACATCCACTACGGGTTCAGTCTTGTCGTGTTTCACCGTGGCTACAACCTCACAGTTCCTGTTGGTAGCTCTGGCCTTCTCTGAGCCCACCAGGGCCAGGAACTCCCTGTGGGACAGGAGGAGCAGATTGAAAAGATGACTTACATTACAGCAGTGATGCAAAGTAACATTTATTAAAAGTACCTTTTTCTGCTACTTTACACTTTGTAATGGAGTATTTGTCCAGTGTTGCATCGCTACACTGAAGAAACAGAGAGGAGTACTTCTTCATCTCCTGCATTACAGGCAGTAGACACAGTGCTTGTTTACATATAGGGCTCACATCATGCATCAGTACAACACTTTTCTTTTTATTCTTATTTTAGACTCTATGGTTGCAGACGTTGTGACATAAAGCAGGGAACTCAGAGGAGTATTAATAATTGCTGCATTCCACTTAGGTCCTGTTATTGTGTGTGCTGGTTCAGTGTTAATAAGTCAAAATGTCTGCTGTGCAACTGTTGACAGTGTGTAACCAGTCCATTCAGGGCGTCTGCAGATAACAATAAGCTCAATCCCCCCCACACACACACAAGATTACACCTTCATTATTCTTATTTGTTCATGAAATTTAAAATGAAAAATCTTCACATAATATGCCTTTTTCACAGGAGCCACTTTGACGTGTAATAGTCGGGTAAACACCAGTGCTACCAATGATACCTGTGCTGCATTCAGGTCAGACAGTCAGTGTGCTGTTACTGTGCATGTTGTCTCAGTGGGAACTGGACCTTAATTAGTATAATAGGTAACACCTGTGTTTACCCTACTGTTTCATGTCAAACTGGCTGCTGTGAAAAAGGTCTATTCTAACATGGTTCAGCTCACCTGAGCGGAATAATCAGCTAAAACTAAAGTGAAAACACCTGTGTAAGTGTTTAAAAATCAATTATATTACAACTTTCATTTCAGTTTCAGGCCAAATATTAAACAAAACATGTCTTATACGTCGATGGAAATAAGGGAAGGGGGAAACCCTAATGTCGTGGGTATTTAATATGTTAGAAACCCTTCGTAACCACAGACCATAACTAGTTATTAGCTCATTAAAATACAGTTTAAACTAGTTAATATAACGTCACTGGTCTGGTGGTGGCTGCTGTTCGGATGTAACTGTCACTAACGGTCGCCTCGTTGTCAAGTAACGTCTTTAGATCGAAAGTCCAGCGACAGAAAACGACTCTCCGACACAACGAGACATTAAACACACACTTCCTACCGTGTGGACCGGACATTAGACTCAAACGGAGAAAAGTGAATCGCTATTTTCTTCACAGCCTTCAGCACCACGGTCGCTTTCCTGGGAGCCGCCATGTTTTCTGTTGTGACCTCCGGTGTGAGGGAAATTGTCGCCTCTCTTGTCGGCCACTAGAGGGCGCCAGAGGATAAAGAACTCACCGGCGTTGACTGGGAAATGGATGCAATAATGTACAAAAGTGTCATTAATTGGCACATATAGAGGTGAATTAGACATGCAGGGCTAATATATGTAGAATTCTGTGATGATAATGATCATTTAGGTTATAATTTTTATGCCTTTTCATTAGTTTAATCTATTTTTAATTCCTCTGCTACTTTCCTTTTCCTACTTTTTTTTGTGATTTGTATTTAAACTCCACCTATATAGTTTCATAAACCTCTAAGCAAATCAAAAATATGTGTTTCTTCCTTTAAAATCCTTCAACATTTCTTGATAGCGTTTGATTTGCATCTTGTATTTGCTCTTGGTCCAGGGAAGGTGTAGGGAAGGGCAGTCGTGTTGGGGCTTCTGCAGGTGTCAGTGATGTACAACCACATTCCTGCTCTCTCCTATAATGTAAGGTGTATGTAAGCACACCGTGATAGTATAATAACAACGCTAGTAGTAAGATTACGAACCTTTATATAGGAATTTTACAATGTAACACAGTTGTAGTGGTACGTAAACGAAGCCTAATCTCGTTCACAATGACATGGCAAAGCTCATTAAAGCAAACTCACAGGGAAACCGACTGTGGCACGTTCCTGTAATCATCTGACAAACGATGTCACAGAGCAGAATTACGTTAGGAGAGAACGAGTGGGGGTCTGTCAGGCACTAAGTCAATAAAGGAGGTGCTGCTCTCCAAATAGACAATCAAACAGACACATCTCATAATCAAATAGACGAGGATGGGCAAATGGTCCCCAGGTACTGCTGCTTCCTGCACTCAGCAGATGAAAAAAGGTCAAAAGCCTGTCAGGGTATAAAAAGTCAGAAATGGAAATGCATTTGAATTTTGACTGCGTTAGCACTTCAGTCAAATCTAATCAGGGCATAAATTGCTTCTGTGAAATAAATAAGTGTCTGTGTGTAATGGAGGAGTTTGCGGCATCAAATCAAAACAACAATTATGCACCTTTTGTGAGGGAGGGTTGTCATATTTAATTATCACAGTGGAGAGCATATCTTTGTGTGTGTGTGTGTGTGTTTATCTCTGCAGTAAAAATAAGTGTATATAAGAAATATATCACTGTATTACCTCTTTAAATTACTTGTTTTGAAAAATACTCTTCATAAAAAGAGAGAAAACATTGTATACTAATCAGTTTTGTTTTGTAAAAAAAGAAAACTTGAGCACTGTGTTTGCACTTCCCTGACCTCTAGTCAGTATAGCTTGATATTTATAGCCACGCTCTTTTTAGGGCGTGTGAAGAACAAATGTGTTATTCTCAGATCAGCACACCCAAGCTTGTACAATTTATCCTAACTTCAGCATGCCTCCAGTCTCTTTCCTGAACGGCCGACAATCTGACCCAGCCTGTGACGGTTGGACAGTGGAAGCACGGGGCTCTAAATATAGACATATGGCTACTGAGAGACAGAAGCATTTCCTATACACTACCCACACCCACACCCACACACACACACACACACACACACACAGATACTTCTTAAGTTATTGTACAGTAAGTCCAGCAATGAGAAAGCGGGGAAGAGGGCGCTCCAAAACAATGAATGCTCAAGGGGATGGTTGACCTCAAAGAAACTAGTAGTATTGTTTTAAGCCAGGTGATAAATTATGAAACACATAACTTAATTAGATACACTGGTGTTCTTTTTAAAGCTAAAATACATAACTATAGCCATATCAGTATAACATGTTTCAATGTGTCACAACACTGTCAGTTTAAGAGTTCAAATATTATCTGACATTCATAATTTGGGTGACACCCAGTTTAGGTGTGAATATTGAGTATAGCAGTTGTGATATTATCAGCATTAAACATGTAGCAGCTGCTCCTGGTGAACAAACAGGGGAAAGATTGTAACAATGTATGTGAGAACACTCAAGAGGTCTCTTGGAAAATACCGGTGCATTTACTGTTAGAAGAAAGGTATTTCCCCCTGGAGACTGATACACAGTGTGCGAGGAAGTTGGTAGCACTGTATTCATGACTCCAGTCACTATTCAGGTACTGCATCTCTGAGGAGCTCCTCAGGGTCTTCCCAGGAACATAAATTCCCAGTATCACTGACTATGACTGATAGACTTTGAATTATAGTTCTCACGTATGTTGTGATTATTTCTAGATGTGAAATATAACTAAACATATTGGTCATAAATCATAGATTCATTATCAGTAAAAACCCAAATGTCGTCTGTTGAGATCCTCGAGGCAATCTGTTCTGTTTAAAGCTGCTGCTGTGAAATACTATAAATGTCTGTTGTTATTTTTATATTATTCTATATATGTACATATTACGTGTGTTTCCTATTGTCATTTATTTTGTATTTTGTTTGTATTTTACCAAATCATGTTGTAATCAGTTCCTTTCCTTTCCTTTAGGCCTATGTATTTTTAAGTTGACAGGTTTATTTTATAAGTCTGTGGCTTCTTGACCTCTCCTGTCACATCTGTTTTATATCTTTTATCTCGTTTATACTGTTGTAAACATGGAAAAATAAAAAAAATCTATAACTAAACTATTTTCTTACACATTCTTTGGTTTCATATTAATATCTCCAAATAATTTCTCCTACGGGGGATGAATGAAGGTATATCTTATCCTAAACCCTTTATATATAATAAAATATTACATCTATTTATACTAAATTATATGTATATTTTATTACAAGGGCCAATAAATAAGGCTCACCCACACATTATTATTTCTATATGTCCGTCCCTTGATGCAGCGGTTCTCAACCTGGGGTCCAGGGACCCTGAGAGGTCCCTAAAGGGTTTCAAGTGGTGCCGAGAAAATTGTGAATATTTTACTTTCATTATTATTTAATTGACTAAAAGGTAAGCTCAATGAGAGAATGTATGAAAGTGACTGTTCTTCTTCTACAGTATAGACAACAATGATGGAATAACTAAATCCTATCAGATGAAGATCTCTGAGACTACATCTTATCAAAAACAGGTCTGCAGCCTGACGTGTATAAATCAACGCTACGATTAACACTTCCCATCATCCGTGGGCATTCTCAATTATGTATTTCTAGCTTGTGCGGGTAACAAAATTGAGCTCAAAAATAACAGTCCCCCATGTGAACTACACTTCCCATGAAGCACCGCAGCCGCAGCTCTCAGGGTCTCCTCCTCCTCCTCCT